TAAAACCGTTACCATCAACTAGGTATCCAAGGCATTCAAAACTAGATACACAAAATGAACACTTATTTGGATTCACTGTTATATTCTTCTCAATTAAACGTCGCAATAAAGCAATAAGTCTCTGGTCATGAACCACCTTATTAGAGCCATGAACAATGAGATCATCTTGATAAACTTCAACACCTTCAAGATCACTAACTACTGTATTCATAACTTCTGAAATATGGCTGGAGAACAACTTAGACCAAATGGAAGGAAATTGTATTTGAACAGACCGAAATGAGTGTTAATTGTCGTCAAAATAGATGAAGATTCATCTAAAGGAATTTGAAGATAAGCATCTTTTAGGTCAACTTTCGAGAACACTTTAGAACCATGAAGTCGATTTAGAATATCTTCAGCTTCTACCGTCGTGCACGTTTGCTTCAACAAACGGGAGTTCAGAGTTAATCTATAGTCACCGCAAATTCTAGGGGTTTTGCCGTCCGACTTCAGTGGCGTAACGATAGGAGTACCCCATGCTGAAGACTGGATTGGTTCAATTATGCCTTTCACACACAAATCGTTTAATGTCTTATGTACTGCTTCTCGAAGACCATAAGGAATTATTCGTCTTTTAAGAAAGACGGGATCACCCTGTACTTGAAGTTTTATAGGCTTAATTTTCATACCTCCACTGCATTTAGCACACATAACTATCAAATCTTTAAGTAAAGTATCAGAATTTTCTTTAGAAACTAAGAAGGACAACTCCACCTTAAGCCTTTTCAAATTCTTTAAACCCAATATTGACAGTCCTGTTTCGCTAACTAAAAATTCACAAGGTATGTATGAAGAATTATCATCTCTGATTAGCAATTCACAACATCCTCGTATGGGCAGTCTGTGTCCAGTAATCCCCAGTATTGATACTTCAGTGGGTCGTACAACAACGTTAGGATCTAAAGCTTTCAAGTTCTTGAATGAAATAATGGACTCCATACTGCCTGTGTCCAGAATAAAGTCATGAAATGAACCAAGCGATGTATATAATCGCTTCTGAATATGAGCATTACCTTTCGAAATAGTGGACAAAGACAAATGATCACTAGAAACATCCGAATTATTGAAATTTAAATTACAAGATTTAGTACAGCTCGAAGCAAAATGGACAGTAGCTTTGCATACTGACTGAATGTGTCCTACCTTACCACATTTAAAACATTTAGCATTACGAAATACACATGAATTGCGAGCATGAAACTTTCCACATGATAAACATTTACCAAACTTCATCTCACCTTTGTGATTTGCTTTGTAATTCCTCGTTGAAACACCTTTCATATTTACACGAGAATAGGAATCACTGTTAAATGAACGCAAGTTTGATTGACCCTGAGATTGTAGTTCATCACGACGACTAAGCAAAGTATTAGAAATATTCATCGACTGGATATCAAGTTCATTGACTGCTTCGTAGTTAATACATGCAGTTCTAGCATCTTGAAAGGAACAGTTTGGCATTCTTAACAGCTCTCTTTCCAAACTCGGTATGTTAATTCCTGCAATTAATCGATCTCTCAATTGCACATGAAGTTGATCACCGAAATTACACTTGGCAGCTTGTTTCTGTAATTCAAGGATGAATTCCCGAACCTTTTGGTCATTTTGACGAACCATCTTATGAAACTTCGCCCTTTCACGGCATTCAAAACTGGTGCATTTTACATGACTTAACAATAGCTCTTTAAGAGTTGCATAAGGCAGTGAGATAGGTTTTTCTGGATATGCCAAAGTTTTTAATAAGCTGTACACTTCTCTCCCAATGAATGTCAGAAAATGTGCCACAATTTTCTCACCTTTAACATCTTTCTTGGTCATGCTCCAAATTTCGAACCTTTCCAAATAATCCTCAATAGCTTCAGGAGTTAAATGAATATCCAACTTTTCCATTGCAGGTTCCATCGCGACGCCAATATAATATTCTAATTATAGTATGAACTAGGAATTCCAGGACTAACGCAATTGAACTAAGAAGACACAGGCACAAACGAATGTATTGTATTTAGAATTCGAAATCAAGTATTCAACCAGTACCAAGGTATCATTGATTCATTCAAACACCACAACCAGATATGGTTTTTCCTAATGATTCACTTATTTCTGACGAAATTCATTGCAATTCTGAAGAAAATATGTTGAATGAACCTAATCATGATCGAAAACCTGATACAGCCTTGATATATGCTAATTTTTCGAATAACCCTTTACTCTTCAATGACATTAATAATAAATTCGAGGAAACTATTTCAGAAGAGTCAAAGCTTGATGTCATACCAAATATTATTTTTCCTCATAATGTATTTGTTTCTTGTTTGAAACTTGTTCAATGAGAAGTATGAGTACTAAATGACCTCGATTTTGATTACAATTCGGAGGATTTCATATCAGCTGCTGTTCATCCTCATCACAAATCCACTTCCAATGTATAATCTAGTCAATGTGAGAAATATGTTTTAAATGAAGCCACATTATTCATAACTTGGGGATATAAAGATCCAACATTATTTCGTGGTGGAGGATAGTGTTGAAAAATCTATGGTTTGAATTCTAGACATTAATGATTTCAGTACAAAACCGACATGCTGATTGTATACAATTCCAGGTGAGTCTGTTCCGATTTTGGTTGTTAATTCCAATACTAATGAGCACATTCTAGATACTACAGAGTTTTTATCCAATACAATGTCAGACAGACTCAGGATGAACTTGAGAAGATGTACAATCAATTACAGACACCTAGACACCAATTTTAGCTGTGGCGGATGTGGTGTTTGAATGAACTATTGATTCCTTTGTACTTGTTGAATGCTTGATTTCGAATTCCAAATATAGTACATTTGTTTGTGGTTATCTAGTACTTGTTGATCCGATTACGTTATTTCTGGGATTCCTAGTTCATACTATAATTCAAATAATTCGAAGCATTATATCCACATACACCAACCAGTTGACGAAACTTTCATACAGACCTGTACATCGGAAATCGTATGTGTCAAACACTTGAATTTAGTAAACAAATCTTAATGATTCCAGCACTTACATTTCATTCACACTCCAAACCAGAAGCTAAAAAGTCTCCTTTCTCTTTTGACACAGTTGTTTTGCTGAGCCTGTGTCTCTAAGAACGGTGTCTAACACCAGGATTAAAGGGTATATACGGAACTTACTAATCCTATAACTTCACATACCCCGGCAACAGTTTCATACATCTACTTATCGTAATTAACAGCAGTGAAATAAATTTTAATTAAATGTACTTAAAAGTAGTTGATACTGGTCCCTTGCGCTTATCAGCCAATCATTTGAGTTATTCGACATTGAATTTGATATCAGACGGGTGAAATTTAATGATTATAGCAAGTGGAACTCACGGACCTTAGTCAATTTGATACTCCACTACGCTTACGTGATGAAAATGTCGTTTGCTGTGGAATCATGGGACAGAAATAATTGAATCACGACCTTATCATTAGTTGGAACCAGCTACTGAGCATTCGAATGAGGTTTCTGAGGTTTTTCAAGTCACTACTGCTGAAACACTGAAGTATCCTGGCTGCACTACAGGTTCTTTTTGAATCACCCTTGGGCATTGCTCTCGAATGCGTGCTCATAGTGCGGGAGGACACATCAGCTAGATCAATAAACGCCAGATGCAGGGCTTAATGCTGATAGAGAACAACCGTGCCAATCCATATTTGTACAGCCAGCACAGAAGCAGCTGAAAACGTGACTACGGGATCCATAACCCATATATATAGTGGTATATATACGGCGAATGCGCTCAGAAAACAACAAACCGCTCTGCACATTTCAGTCACTCACGGTGATGTGAAGTAGGGGTTGTCTCTGTTAGTGACACGTAGCATGCTAAATGCGTCAAATCACTTCAAACCGTAAATCTTACCAGAAAATGTTCACCAAACTCCTCTAGACAACCCTTGAAAAACTTCACATCAATGAGAAAATACTCAGTCACGCTCCCACTATTCATCATTCAGAATGGTCTTGAGAATCGCTGCCTCAGCTGAAGAGACATCTGTTCCAGCGGATATCTTTAAGACGAGACATGACAAACAACCCACTCATTAGATGGTGGTTGGAGGTAGTCGACAGGAAACCCTGGACCCGGCTACCTGGAACTCGTCAGCAAGGTGTACCTGTAATCCTGAGAGAACTGGTGCTTCCTGGCGGTACCGATCTCGTGTCACCCAGCTTCACAGTCAGAGACACCCTGTGGTCAGTCAATTGTGACAACCCGCTCATGTATTATCATCTAACACTTAAACTAGCTTTACCTAACGCAGTGTCGCAACTTATTTACTGTCATCGCTACCACAAATCAGTGACTTCTTCCCATTTTGCTTCAAATGATCTCCATTTATCTATTTATTCTTAACCATTGGTCTTCTCATACAGTCTGCATTAATAATTAATTTCTATATTTATATATCTCTTGAGAAAATTGTCTTCTCATTAGACCTGAATACTTTGTTTATTTTTTCATATTGCACACTATTAAAGTGATAGGTGCTGGGTTCAGAAAACTTACTGTCCTAGGACAAGCTCATCCACTCAGGTTACATGATGTACAAATTATAACACTAATAACACGATAAGATAGAAACGATCTTTGATTTGAAAATACTGATCAGTTGTTAGTTGGATCACTACCTTGACATGAACAGTTGCAGCTGGACAGAAGTTATTCGAGCAGAGAATCTACGTGTATCTCATTGAGGGATTTACTACAATGACGATTCCAACCAAATGATCCATTGACAAACTTTAAAACCTGCAAATAGCAACCAAACTAGCTAAAACTACTGCAGTCGAATGCCCAGACTAAAAATTATCCAACTTTACAGTGCAAATTGGTTCGTATCTAAAAAGCAAGTGAAAAAAAACCAATAAAATTACACGAACACGTCACAAGAACATTGGACTTCGCTTTTAGCCTTGACGGTTTTTCAAAAGACGTGTGTCACACTCATAACTGGTAATTCCTATATGTTTCTTCCTTGAAGTGAAACAGATATTCTGTGGCTATCGTTAGTGCCTTCAATGTAAAAATTTTCATTTATCATGCTCTCGTCGTTCCTATTTTCCTGCTCAGGTTCTCATTAATTTCGACCTAAGTAATCATGCTTGATATTTTGCGTAACATGTATAGAATTTCAGCAAAAACATCCACTTTTGTGGCCTTTGTCCCTTGCCCTAAGGAGAAATCAACGCTACTTCTCGAATTCCACGCACATCCTGGAAATTCTACGTACATTTCCTTAGACGTCGCTTAAATTTCCTCAGAGTTCGTGTACATTCTCGAAGCGTTTTTTTGTCAACAGCCCGTTGTCTTCATGAATCAATTATGCATCCCATTAACGATATAGTAGACGGTAGACTTATATTTAAAGGTCGAGATAAAGCGTTTTCTAACACTATATGCCATAAATAATGCGACAATAACCTACACTTTAGGAAGTAGCTCTCCCAAATCTCACTTAAAAACATGAAAGTGATGAAAAAGACTGGGTTGCTATAAAAACGAAGGGCGGTGTTATTTCCATCCTGAGTTGAAACCTTTTAGAAGTAGTTTCATTGTTGTTTATATTCGTTCACAATACAGAGTTTAGTGTAGTTTCTACTTCAGTGTCGTATTTTAACTCACACTTTTCTGTTCAAGATTATCACACTCATTTCTCACCCTCATCTTAAAAGAAGTTACAGGGCACAAATAAACCCATCAGTGGCTTGGTGTTCGAAAAATCATGTACAATGGTCAAACCAAAATGTGATTCTTCTGGTTTAGCTATTAAAACAGGTGGTATCCGTTTTCAGAAGACAAAGGGTCAGCATATACTGAAAAATCCCCTCGTTATTACCACAATGGTGGAAAAGTCTGGTATCAAGTCCACAGACTCCTTGCTTGAAATTGGTTCTGGAACCGGTAACCTCACTGTCAAGTTGTTAGAAAAGGGAAGGAAAGTGTACGCATTCGAAATAGATCCAAGAATGGTTTCGGAATTGCAAAAACGTGTGCAAACCTCGTAAGTTCCTGTACATGATTCCTATAATCATGTGACAACCAGTAAACCGTTTAATAATTTCTGTCTTACGTGACTAGGCACTGGATGTTATTAGTATTATTAATTCGTCAACCAGTTATACATTCGTATATTTGACTTTGAACCCTGGCGTGTGTAGGCTGTCAGTACTACCCACTTAACGTAAGTGGGGTGGGTTTCGAACCGGTGGCTTCCGCAGACCTGTAGTATCGACAGCTCTCACACTTAAGGTGTGACTCAAAGCCAAGTAGTTAGTGAAACTGTGAGTCCCTAATTTTATAGTAGTAATAAAACGTTCATGTGAATCTGCAAATGACCATACCAACTCTTAGGTGTCGGTGTAATAATTATTAAATGTTGTGGTTACGAACTCTTACTAATATCCCTACCCTTTTGTCCATGTTTCAGTTGTCGGTTTTGTGGCTGTTGTGCAGTACATATAGAGGTTTTAGACAGTCAACTCTATACAGCAAGATTGGTCTCATTACCTTTAATATATCACCATTTTCTTGAGATGATGATTCACATTTGATGTTTGTGTTGAATACATATGAATACATGTAGTTTAGTCCCTCGGTTAACTCAACGTGTATATAGACCTGATGATGTAAGTTTCAACACTGAAGGTAACGATGTATCAAATAGTAGTCAAATTAACGTACCGTTATGGTGTGTTAGTTACTTGAGCTGTAACCAATTAAAGTTTACAGTTCCCAGGAGCTAGTTATTTGAACTGTCATAACTGGGCAAATACACATTTCTAGGCCACACCGTTACTCACACAGCATTGTTACTGGATATGAGCAGCCCTTCAAAGACAATGACGATCAAAATGGACGTTCTCAAAACAGACGTCGTAAACACTAAAAGGAGTCGATTCTAAGTAGTTCATTTTGTTTCTAAATAGTTGTACCATAAGTCAGATTCAATAACAGCTTCCGAAAGTAACCATTCAATGACTTAGTATCATTTGGACAGAACAGAGTTTTCAACTAAGATCTACAATTGAACGAGTCGAAAATTTAGATGTAAAGAAATTGTAAGGTACATGGGAACAGAACAAGAGAGGATGTTAAGGTGATATAAAACACATTTACAGTAAAATGTAGTTTGATTGATTAACGTACAAGGTAAGTCACTATCCCCATTAGTTCCTGTCTCTGAAGTCACTATAATTCTTCTCTTACTTAAGGATTCTCCGTATTTTTTTGATATACCGACCTCACTGTTAGACAGTTTTATGAGAACCATATAGGGAAACTGCTTTTCTTTGATGCTTTACACTCAAAATTACATTTTTACAAATAGATTTGATCACAACCAGTACAGTAATTTAGAAAGAAACCGTTTCGGTTAACATTTCTTGTATGGTCAGGTTACTTTTCTGTTTTGTTATAACTGATCAACGTTGACAAAAGCTTCACAAGTAGTAACAATGCAATTCTCATATTGCACAGTTTTCCATTTATTTAAATCCAGATACTTAGACGATTTGGCTTTGTTGTTCACTTCATTCTTCTCTAGTTCTGTTTGCTTTTACCTTATGCCTAATTTACGCATTCGCGAAGTCGCTTGAGGCGTCTATCCGAATCATCAATTATTTGCGTCAAAAACTGTATAAGTAATTACTCCTAAAACTATAAGCCGTCTAACCCATCATCCGTCTATTCAAAACAATCATTTGTAATATTAGTAACTATCAGTGTTAGGTTGATGCACTGCTACGTCTCATTTTTTAAACTCCACTGGATGTACGCATTGCAGAAACGTTTTAAGCCAGTGCTTTTCATGAAATATTTGTCAGACCACATCGAACCAAACTAGAAATTCTCGTTGGCGATGCAATCAAAGCAAAATCATGGCCCAAGTTCGATCTCTGTGTAGCGAACCTGCCGTATAAAATCTCCTCGCCATTCATCCAAAGACTGATTAGCGCAGGTCGTGGTTTTAGAGCAGCAGTTGTTATGCTCCAGAAAGAATTCGCTGATCGTCTTACGGCTAAACCTGGAGATAAATTATACTGTCGTCTGTCAGCATCTGCTCAGTTCCACTTCAAAATTGAACAGTTGATGAAGGTAGGTTGTTAAATATAATCGCTATTTAAAACGACTTTTCAACTATTATTATTATGGCTTTAATGTTTTTTACTTTTTCTTCATATATGTTAGGTGGAAACTTGTCTTTCATACTTCAGGCCTATAAATTATTCTCATCCCACCACTCTTCTTTAGCCTCTCAGTCATCACGCGACCTGTTGGTATTTAAAAACTCGAATCACTTTGCGATGTAATATCTCTCTGTTCTCCTATAGGCTCATATATCTACCAAACAACTATAAATACGAATGTACAGCTTAAGTAAATTATTTTATCAAAAAAGGAAATTCTGTTTATTCTTATTCAACGACAATGAGATACTTTAATTATCAGAACGACAAATTTACAGTGGACGAATCCACTTGACTAGTTCTGACTCCGAAGTGAGACCGTCTAGAATTAGTTCGTACCGCTTAAAGATCAGAATATTCTTGAGCAACCTGTCATCAGACGCGTTCGGTTTTTAATAAACGTAGGTTTTCAGAAATATAGGAGCATTAAAATGAGTTTAAAAATATGTTATTTATAGGAAGTTTACTGAGTAAATCCCAGCATCAAGTAACATTACTGATTCTTTACATTCCGCTTAATTTGACTTATTTGAAAAACGAAGGACTTTTCGCTACCGAAAGGCTACTCAAAGTTTACTAATGCTGGAAATTTTCGGAAATGCTTAAAGATTACAATGGGTGTGAATATTACTCAAAATCAGATAAGTATAACTACTAAACTAGGAGCTAATTACGTTTGTACTAACTATACAAATGGAACGAAATATCTCGTCCACTAGGAGTTTCAAAAGTTTGCGTTAACATAGCTGCTCGCTCCTAATTTTTTTAAACGTTTGATAAACATACAGTGTAACTCCATTTATCTGTAGTTATAAATATTTGGTTACTGTAAATGTTGTCCAAAGGCCACTAGACCCTTTCAAGAATTGCATGGAAGGTTATCTAAGGTCACTATTTACTGTCATTAGATTTGAATTCCTACCATTCATTCGTGCTTCTGATCTTTTAGGGTTTTATCTCATGATGATGATTTAAACGTAAAGAGTAAATGATTATAGTTTGGGTCGAGCACTCAAATGGAGTTCTTTTTATTTCCGTATCATTAACTACATCTCAGCTAAATTTCTCATTTGTATTTTTCAAATGTCGCTCTGGTAATAATTCGCAAAATGAAATAATTTAACATATAAGGAAGAAGGTAAGCGAAAAATGATCAAAGATGCATATCCATGTTCTTCCCCCCACTGGATTAGGGTATAATCCGTTATTTTAATGCATACTGTTAAGTCAGCGATTGAGCTTATTTTAAACGGTTAGGTACGCTAGGAAGCTAAACTGTGCACCCAGAATAATTAATCATTCGAATACTCGTACGTGTTAGAAAACGGCAACAAGATATACGAAAATGTCAGGAATTAACACCGCATGTACAAAACTTCACTACTATTTCAGTTTTTCATGTCACAGCTTACACCATTTTAAGTTGTTTAACCCTTATGTATACTATTCCTTCATTGTAAGTATGTTCAAATATCATAAACAAGCCGTTAAATAAACCTCTTACAATTTATTTTAAATATTAGATCAATAGAAACAGTTTTCGTCCCCCACCGCGTGTTGATTCAGCTGTTGTTCGGATTGAGCCCAGGCATCCATTACCACCTGTGATGCATTCAGAATGGGATGGATTACTGCGTCTTGTGTTTGCTCGCAAAAACAAAACGATCGGAGCTAACTTTAGCGGCAAGTCAATAGCTGCACATTTACGTAAGATTTACATGGAGACTTGTTGCACAAAAGGATTGTCACCAACTCCAGAGGTTATTGCCTGTGAGTCTACTGGTGTTTCAGCAATGGAGGAAAAAATAACAAATATACTTCGAGATTCAGGTTTCGAGAAAAAGCGCGCCCGTACTTTGGACGAAGATGACTTTCTTAGATTATTATTAGCCTTTAAAAAAGAAAATATAAATTTTGGTTGATTTCTCTGTAATGTTCTTATTTTGTAGAGAATTGAGAAGGCATGATACATTGTACATAGTCGAGTATATCTCGGCCGTAAGAATATTATGCTAAAGTATGACAAAAACCCCTCACAATCTTTCCTATGATTTACGAAGATTATTTCCATTTCGGTTCTCATGACTAAATGATGGAGACTTCATTAGAATGGGAAATAAATTTATCTTAGAATGCCCTTTTAAATAACATTTACAAGTCAAAACTCGTAATAATATCATGCAGATACCTTTTTGATTGATCTATTCGTACATCAAGTACAGTTTCAGCAGCTACATGTGTTTGGCGTTTTAAAGGCTGATATAAGAGCTGTGAAGAAATATCTTCGAAGTCGCTCAAACGGAAATCAAGTGGTGGAAAGTAAGAAATACACATCGCAGCCCATCAGTTTCCACAGCAGTATTCGGTTAATCATTATACAACCAACGACCATCTAGGATCCAATCAATAACAGCTTTGCTGTTAGACTTTATGTTACTCCACCACTCGAGAAAAATCCCAGCACTCTGAAGTTAAAGTCAAGTAATTATACTGTTCTTTGTTATTGTTCTTAAACTAAAGCATCGATTAAAAATGTGTCTCTAATGGGTAACGTCGGATTCAAATCAGCGTCTAAGTACAGAAATTTTGAGGCCTCAGCCATTAACAATAATCTCATAGCAAGCTTCGGGAAACTTGTGGATGATATTTTCGGAGAATAATATAGAAGAGACACTAAAGATTGTCTTTTAATTTCATCCTATCCAACTTGTAATTGATACTTTGAAGTATGAGAAAGACTGAGTGTGCTAGGGAACTGCCAGAAACATAATTTCACGTGCAACAGAGAATAGTCGTTTTGGACTAAACGTCTTGCTACCGTCAACCTAATATGTGTTTGCCCCTATAAAAAAAACCTTTAGGTAACAAAATGAAACCAATTTTATGTGAACTATGTACAATATACTTACAAAATTAATACGATCAGTAGAGCATGTACATTTAAGCTACACAAAGAGTTGTCTTGTGGACAGGAGTGGACCAGCAAATCGTTCGTGACTTTTTATTGTACGACGTTCTTTAACAAGCTTTAATCGAAGGTTATCTGCTTGACGTCTTACTTGTCGTAAAATGGACCGCTTGTAATGACTATAAGTGGTTCGAAAACCAGGATGTGATGTAGATAAAGAGCAAGTTCCATTTGTCACAATAGTATTAGAAAATTTGGAAGTCATATTTGTAGTTTCGGGAGTCATATTTCCGAAGGGGTGCAAGTTGAAAACAGTATCTGTCGTGATTGTAACTTCTCCACTTGACTTGGTACTGGGCAAGGTGTCCGATCTTAATGGAGCATGAAACACTTCAGTTGTCCATTCCAACTCCTCTTTAACTTCGTGGTGGTCAGTATGAAGAGATACTGGGAAATCAAAAATGATGTATTAAGTACTTGATTCTAATCCATTACAATATTCATTATTAAGGAGAATAATTAAGCAAATATTAAAGACTGGAAACTTTCACCAGTGTGACTACTTTAAGACTTAAACTATTCATAATTATTAAGTTTTGACTAAAGTTCTGTTCTTTAAAATGAATTCGAAGCTGAAAATTATGAACACAAGATGGAACTGGCTAACATTTAAAGAATGAGAATACAGATAGAACGCAGCAAAGATTTGTGCACGGTTCCTAATCCGGCTTAGTGATATTTTACAATTCTTAATTAACTATGTACATTAGTATATATAAGTCTTGAATAGGAATCATAAGCCTGAATGGTTTGCAATTTCATAAACAGTGAACTGTGGTTGAAAACTGTCCAAAAATACCACTCAAAATGTGTATCTAACTACCTGTTTTTATTCTTGAATTCAACATCAACTACTTAGAAACGTCTCACACAATCACCAAAGTGAAGATAAGCATGACCAAAGCAGTCAGTCAGCTACAACCTAGGACTAGGCACATATATGCATCGGTCTAAGTTGCCACACCTCACTAGCAAAACCAGATAAACACTAAATTCATAGAAGTAGTTACTTCAATGGTAGCAATATATAAAAGAAAGATTGTACATAACGATATAGTGCAGGAAAAAAGAATTAGTTCATAAAAGGAAAGATATAAAGCAATTTTAATTTCATGGTCTAAGGAAAGACAAAGAGTGTATACACCAAAGCACCTCTTCCCATTGTTTCATTCGAGCAGTGGGGTTAGGCAGGGTTGCCCAATCTCACTATTCCTCTTCAACTTTTCTATCGATGACATTTTGGAAACAACTCGGATGGATATAAGTAATGGCGGTGTGGATCTGTTGCCTGGAGAAAGACTTCTCGACCTTGAGTATGCGGATGACATTTTTTTACTGTGCGATAATGCCCAAGCCATGCAATCCACACTTAATTAGTTGGCAATGAATGTCCGTAGGTATGGTGTGTGCTTCGCATCTTCTAAGTGCAAAGTACTTTTACAAGACTGGCACTCACCCTGGGTAGTGAGCAAATAGAAATAATCGAAAAGTTCATGTGTCTGGGTAGCTGCATAAGTGCTGGTGGTGGTGTGAGTGATGAGATCAATGCACGTATAGTGAAAGCTAGAGCGACTTATGCCAATATGGGCCATCTCTGGAGCCTTCGTGATGTTAGTCTGGCTGTAAAAGGTCGGGTCTACAACGCGTCGGTGAGAGTAGTTTTGCTCTATGCTTGTGAAACCTGACCTCTCCGAGTTGAGAATGTTAGACGACTCTGTGTTTGATCATCACTATCTCCGAAGAATTGCTGACACCCAGTGGCAACACCATGTTAGTAATGCAGAGGTTCAGCATCGTGTGTTCGGGCACAGAGACGGTAATTCAATTGGTGTCACTATTTTTGAACATCGACTTCGGTGGCTTGGACTTGTTCTACGAATGTCATCCCAGAGAATTCCACGTCATGCGTCAATTTCCGACGCTGGGACTAGTTGGAAAACGCGGAGAGGTGGTCAGTGTACATGGTGTCACGGTATGAAAGAAAACTGCAGGACTGGCTTCTGTTGGTCTTTCGTGACTCCATGGTTGGGGGTCCTAGAGATAATATAACGCAGTGGCTAGAGACGTTATCAGATATGGCTCAGAATAGAAGCCAGTGACGATCCTGCTGTAACTTTATTTTGCTTTCTTCATAAAAAAAGACGTAATTTCTTTAAGTGGAAGGATTCTTTGTGGCTGTATTTTTGCTAATTGAACTGTCTCTCCCATTATTGTTATTTCATTATGATACACTAATTTCTGTTCATTGTTGTACTTCTTTTTTCTTATACGCACCGTACATTCTTTATATCTTTACATTCTCATTATTATTGTGTAGCGCATATGTATATTGTGCCCGTTTGTACCAATATTTATGTGTTCAAATAAACAAAATAATAAAATTGTGATTAATTCTGAGCTATGTCACCCAGAGTCTTCAACCGTTGATTACGATAGTCACGCGGACCTCAACCAAGTAGTTTGCATCTACCAACATGGCGCAGACCATAAGTTAGTGACTTTATGAACTCATGCCACGTTTTGGTTTGGCCGCCACTAACTTTCTTCCAACCGTCTCCAACACTAGCCAACAATGCGCGTCGTGGTGATCGGTGTTCAGGCATACGTAACATGTGGCCCAACCATCTCAATCAATGAAGATTTACAACCTCATCAACTGATTTACCATCATTCCCTAATATCCTACGTCTAACCTCACTATTACTTACCCAGTGATCCCAGCAGATGTGGGCAATATTTCTAAGACATTTGTAATCTAATACTAGAAGCTTACGAGTATCTTATACTATCAATGGCCACATTTCGCAGCCGTAAAGTAAAACAGAACGAACAGACGCGCAGTATACTCGTCCCTTAGTTGAAAGACGGATATCTCGCCTTCGCCATAGGTGACGTAAGTTGGCGAAAGCCAAGCGAGCTTTTCGAATCCGTGCTGAGATTTCGTCAGAAACCAACCCATTAGGGCTGATCAAACTTCCAAGTGAAGTTGTTGACGCGTTCGACTAATTCACTCTGTATCTTTAATTCAGGTGTTGACGCAGGCCAGTCTTGAAGCAACGACTCTGTATTTTATCAGCGTCTTCACCAAACAGGACTGTCATCTGTGTATTCTAAATCGATAAGTGGACCTCCTGACCAAAGCAAACTTGGTGTGAACAGAATATTGGTATATCGGAAAAAAGATGACTACAGAAAACAAAAAAGTAATTATTGGGAAGAATATCTGATGATCAACCAAATGTAATGTTCCAGTACTTCGTTAATTAGCCAAGAGCTGTTTAAAAAATAACGCACAAGAGATTGTTATACAAGAGATATACGTAGTAATTTAATGTATATCTAAAATCCATAAGTTAAAATGGCCCTGGAATGCAGAACGATAATAAATGATGTGTTTACATATAGTCAATGCATTTTACTTATTAGTTGCAATAAGAAAAATACATATTAAATACACCAACTGAAATGCCTAGTTTTTTGCATACTTCTAGAAACCCCAATCTTAGTTTTTACATTAAAGCCAGTGATAATATATAGAATGATGTCATCCAGAAGATTATAAATCAGAATGCTAATTTATTTATTTTAACACATAGATATTGGTACAAAGAGGCACCAAATACATATGCGCCACACAAATCTCATTTGATATGTGTGAGGGCTGTGATACTGCCCGAGTACCCAAACCGAAGCAGGATCAGAATGATTAGTCATTGCCCGCAAGTTTTATCGTTCCATAATAATCAATTCAGTATGAAAATAAAACTTGATTTGGTTGAGTTTAAGTATAATGCTGAATATGTGAGGTTCGAGAAAGCAACTTCAAAGCTATGACGCATTTGTCGATCTAGGATAATATTTATCGAACCATATCAAACCCAAATGTTACTTATGAACCGAAAAACAACCAATTTTATTGGGGAAAACATCGCTAGGTAGTTACAAGACGTTTGATTGC